GACTGGCAGCAACTGGTTGGATTTAGTATCCTTAGTTTGTCACACTCCTGAAAATCCTGGAACTGGCCAGGTGTCTGGAAGCTTGAACTAAGCTGCATCACCCCCATCAATACTAACTGGGGGTGAGAACGTGAAGCAGATGAGTGGATGTGATTCCCGCTGTAGTTGTAAGGGGGTTACGGAGATGAACAGAGCTGATTAGCAATGTTAACCTCACACTGAGGTGGGAAGTGTAATTAGAATAATAATTGGAGATTCTGAATTCACAATTAAAACAAAACCGACCCTGAACCACGAACAGCACCACTGGGACTACTAATCATAACACTCTTTAACAAACTACACTTTAAAACCCTCTTCCCCAGCGCCATGCTCACAGTGGAGGTGCCATCACTTTCAGCTCTCCCTGATGGAACACTGGGAACTGAACAAGAAAGCATGTGTTCTCACTGTCGGCACGTTCAAATGACAACCCCGCAGCTATTCCAGCAGCAAGACGCCAAAGTTAGTTGCTAAACTTTTTTTTATTCAAATCTTCTTTTAAAAGGCAAAATAAACTGCAGTCATTTCGAAAGCCTAATGTAAATGTTACAACGAATTAACCCCTCTCTGCTGCAACAGGATCACAGAAACACAGTACACTGTACTGCAAAGAAAGATCTTAGTTTTTCAATTATGAGCCGTAAACACTTCCTCTATTACTCTTAAAATAAATTCTTGTACATGTGTTTTTTTTTTTAAAGGCTCTGGTTATTTTCAGAACAAAGCGTGTTGTATGACTACATTTTACAAAGCAGACATGAACTTGAAGAAAATAAAAGAACTTACAGTATGAAATATATCTTTAATACATGCATGTATCATAGAAGACCTAACAATACTAAAGTCTCCTCTGGCATCATGCAGACAGTCCACCCACTGAGGGACGAGAGGGCTTCCCGCCAGTTTTAAAGAAAGTGAGACGGGGCATTGTTATTCTGCATACAACGCTATGGATAATCCCTTTGTTTACTTCCTGGTCTGTAGACCGCCTTCTCCAAGAACACAGTACAGTCCAATGCCATGCTGCGCCGTTGGAGTGTGTCTACTCCACATGAGATAAGGTGTTTCTACAGATTCCAATAACACCTGCCAGTTGGAACTACTGTACTGTTAAAGCAAGTTATTTTCAGAATTAACATTTTCTTTGCAACAAAGATGTAGAATCCAGAGCCATGCAAAAGGTTTTAAGTATTTTTTCTGCTCTTTTTTTTTCCCCACAGTACTGCTTGATTGCAGTAATGGCAATTGCATACCAATCTGCTCACTACACACATCAATATTTAATACTATAAAACAGGAATCTGCTGGCAAATGTATAAAGACCTTAAGTAGGCTGCAATTTGTTTCTAGTTCTCTCATGCCATCCTGCACTTTCTGCTAACTGACAGCAGTACCAATTTAATAATTGACAGAATCATGCTCAAACACTAGCAAAAACTAGTATGTGCACAATACTTCATAGTAAAGTCACTGGAAATACACGATTTACTGTTCAGTATCAGCTCGTACACAACTATAAGAATGAGTTAGTATCCAATATGGGAAAAACAACTGTTTCAGCAAAATGCATTCATATAAAATGTGTGCTGAATCAGTAACAATCTAAAACCTAGAGAAGTATGGTTGCATTTTTTTCTCTGTAATTCTTTGAAATAACCAATGATAAGTCGGAACAAAACATTTTGTTTATGACATGCCATTGCATAATAACAATCCTTTAAGTACAAGAAATCTGTTGCAAAGTTTGCCAAGACTGTTAAAGGATTTCAGAACAATAATTAACGTGTCACATTTCAAAATACACATTTACTGTTCTTTTCATTTCCTGTTTAACATTTCACACTTCTTGCATATGAATAATAGCCTTTGTATGAGATACGGATTACACATCAGGCTTAGTTAAATCTTGAAATAAGGTTAAGTAATTGGCATACAGTATATGAGAATGAAAATTCAATCACCCTTTGAGAAGCTCGCTATTTTCAGTGCATTTTGTATGCAACTCTAAGAACTAACACAAAGACTAAAAGTCTCTCATCCATCTTTGCAAAAAGATATCAAAACATATGAGTGCTGCATTGAATAGTTACTTGACAACCACCTAAGTAATGGGAAAATATTCCTTAATTTGCATACATTTTCTTTAACCAAGCTTGTCATCTAATCCTCAAACAGGTATGTAAATCTGCTTCAATTTAAACTATGGATGATATGCCAGAACAGATTGCACTTAATGACTGTTTTGCTTGTTATCAGCATTTGTTGTCGTCCCAGGGATGGAAAAAGTAATTTTCAACTATAATAAGAGGCATGCCAAAAATGATGAGCTGTTTTCTTATCGATCCATATCGTAATTTGATGGAATACACACAAGCCTGATTTTCAGTGCATCTCGATACACCTGTCCAATCTGTCTAGCTGCTTACCGACGCCCAAATCGAATGTCTTGTAAGAATCCTTTGAACCACAGATAGTTGACACTACCAATCAAACTCTGCCTGACATGAAGCTGCTCTCCGAGGTTTTCCCTACAGTCTGCAAAAGATTAGAAAGTGCTATCCAGTGTGTACCGAGACCCCTGCTTCCAAATTCTAAATTGATACAGATAACACCTACCAAATCATCATTAATATGCACAGAAACATATGCATCTTCATTTATGCATACAGTATTACTGTGAATTAGTTTGTATGATATCATTTATCCATTCCAAGAAGGTTACTTTTGAGCTTCAGATTTAAAGTGTGTATTCCATAATTTGCATAAACTGCATACACAAATTACAAATTGCATGAAAATTACAGTAAAACAATGCAATTATTATAACTGATGATTGATTTCATGATCTTATTCGCTACTATCAATATCAGATACTGCAGTCATACAAAATACAGCCTTCTATTATTGCTGTTTGTTATTGATAAATGCAGGGTACAAGGCGGGGCTCCAATGTGGATCTAACTCTCAAGCACAATTTAAAGACTACTGCTAACCTAGATAGCATTTCTTTGAAATGTAGAATGAAATCAGAGCTCCTGTAAAAAAAAATACAGAAATGGAAAGAATTTTAAAATCCACACAGAAAGCAGCCCATCTGGACTTGAACCCAGGACCGAAAAGCTGTGAGGCAATAGCCTTTACTATGATGTCATCTTGTTGCAGGTGTAAAAAGAACATTGTAAAATTGTGTTCTAGGAAAAAAATGACACTCATCACACTAATTAATTTTTGTTAACCGAATACTTTATAGGAACTGGTAACCATCTTTAATATGGTGTCTGACATTAGAAAAAGGTGTTTTCTCAGTTAAAAACATATTGCAATTAAGTACAGTTATATATGTAGCATAAAGGCACACCACATTTTCATAGTGAATTATACAAGTGAACTAATAGCTACATCTTTTCAGTACATTAGAATGTCATTAGGGCTTAAAATTACAAACCAAGAAAACAATCTTTAATGCAACCTTAGTCACGAATGTATGGAGCTAGGAGTTGGAGAATGGAAGTCCTGCAATGGCTTTTATAAGCGTCTTTAATGCTGAACTGTAAGACAGTAATGTACCATATTCATGTATAATTAAATTAAGACTTTGGACTCGTGCTTTTGAGGAAAAATGACACCGAGGCAGAAACCTTGGCTGTTATGCCAGGACATAACGACATACAAAGTAATTGAAGGTGACCACTGAGTTGAAACTAGTTTATTTTAAAACTTTAATATAGCCTTGATTGGAAAAGGCAAAGCTATCACTGTAATAACTTAATGTTTAAAAATAAAATCAACAATGAAACCCTCAGGGGAAAGAGATGATTGTTATTTCCTTGGCAAAAACATTAAAACATTAAATTCTCAGAAAATAAGACTTAATTTCACTGACAACAATCCCAACACGTACTGTACCAACATGTTATGAAAATCATTACCTAGAGGGGAAAAAATACAATTCAGATTCAAAGTTAACAAAGGGACTAAAACAAGAAAAACAAACAAAAAAAACCTGATCTTTTTAAAGAACACTTACGGGAAATTTAACATTTTAACCTTGGAGTTTATTCCTCTGACAAATATACAGCACCATCTAACACCAACTGCCCCTTGTGGTGACCACTGTCAAAATAAATAATCAGTCCAGTGTGGTCAAGTCCAAGCACTTCTAAAAGCATTGTCTGTGTTGGGAATATATTTGTAACAGTTTCAGAGCTCTCTGTATTTTCTTCCCAGACAAGAGAGGGCAAGACAGTATATAAGGAACAATCTTCCCATTAAGACTACTATTCATCTTTTCTGCTGAACAATTTGGTTCCAACCGATATGTGATTTTCAACAGCTTATTTCTTTAAGGGCCACTCCTAAATCCTAAAAAGATTCCTAAAAAGTTTTTGTCATGGGCCAGGGAGGCACTATATTAGGATATTCTCTTTTTTTTTACTTCTAAAGCTATCTCCTATGAGCCTCAGAATTAGGTCAGATAATAAATAGTTGTTTTTGCAACAATGCTGTTTGATTTATAAAACACTGCATTTTTCATAGCCAACAAAGTCACTACATAGCTATGCAATTTGCACAGATAAGGACTTCCAATGTTTTTCAGCAATAATTTATTTTCATTTTCAACAGGCTTGACATAACACTTGATCAGACACTTCTCATTAGGAGTAAGAAAAAACTACTGCCATCCAGCATTGGTAATGAAGCACTCAATAGCTTATATCATGCTTCCAGCAGCGATTATATCTACGTTTTATTTTAAAACTAAACAAACCACAAAATACTAATTCTGTGGATGTTGACATAGCTGACATTGTGAAGACGCTAAGTCAATTGAACCAAATGTTGTAAAAAAGCCAGTGTTTCAGCAGCCCAGTGCTTTAGTGTTTAGTATGGGTAAGTCAGTTATAATTCTGTATGCTACAGTGGTTGACTGTTTTTTTATTGAGCAGTCTGCTTCTTACCTTCACAGTAAGCTGTGTCCCCACGGAGTGCTGTGTACCCACTTTTGCATTCGCAAACAGCTTTGGTATCCAAGTTTTTGCACACTGAATTTTCCCCACAATTATGTCCTTCGGCACAGAAATCATGGCCTAAAAAAATGAAATGAGCTTTAATTAAATGACTTTCATCTACTGCTGTGCACAAAACACTGCTCTACTTACCTTCTTCGGCCCATTTTTAATGTAGTAAAACTGCTCTTCCCTTTAGATGGGCAAGTCTCCACTTAATGTGCACCTGATGTCTGTCTTATTTTAAGAATCGAAACCAGTGAAAACAAATATCTAAACCTGAAAACAAATTGAAAACGAGTGTTCCAAATGAACATGTTAAGGACTTGATACTTTAAAATAATCTTTCATTGTTTAGGCATAATCAAAAATTGGAAAACCAGACACAGTGTTCATTATACTCTTGTTACTGTTTGTAACTTAATAGTTCCTTCAACACATCAATGACAAACGTTCATAGGACTAGTTGGGAGATATCTGTATAATAAAGGGCAGGGTTAGGGATTCATTGTGTGAAAGCTGAGCTTGACTCAAGCTGGAATCTCTATATTACTTCCATTTAACATTTCATTCTATTGTATTAACAGTCTATTAACACAATTGTCTTATTTGTAAGGGGAGAAAATATTTAAACCTAATTTTAAAATACTAAATACTGTGTCACATACAGTATACTAGCTTTCAACTTTATATTTTTTGAATAAGAATTGCTTTCATTTCTGCAATGTAGACATGTGGTTATACTGTATGTCCATCCTGAAGCACCTGCAAAGGCTTCAGACTTTCTTTCAGCTGAATTCAGGGACGTACAGACATAGTAACTTGTCAGCAATACCCAATTGCACAAGGAACATCCAATTCAAAGGGGAAAAAAGCCCGTTAATAAATGCCACTTACAAAGTTCAAATCAAAGGACATACGTAAAAAGAATTGATAATTAAGAAAGCAAACTCATGTTCAGAGATGATTAAGCCCATGTTAATTAAGCACTGATCGTACTGTCTAGTCTAAGAACTTCCATATTCATTCTTTTAAATGCTATAACTTTAATCAAGTCCCTGCTATTTCACAATTATTGGAAGCTACTTTGAAGTAAAAGTACAAAATGTGATGTTCTAAGCAAATTCGTTATTACATGCTCTATGCTCTAAATACGGGGCCTAACCTCATATTCCAGGTCTTCACTAGTATAGTACTGTATATGGCATAATTAGAACAACTCCAAAACGCAGACACTGTGAGCTTCAAAAAACAGGGTTCATACTGTATGAATCCACAAAATTTACATTTTCATTTACAGGCAATGCTAAAACATTTTATCATCAATTTTCAAGTTTTTGTCAGTCTTTTCAAATTTTTTAAAATATATTTCTTAAATATTGCTTTTTTTCCCACCCATAGTGTTCTCTACTCAAACAGGGAGTATGCTGTAATACTAATACAATGAGCTAAGGATGAAAACCAATCTGTCCAATTATAAAATCAGCCAAAACTAAAATAAACCTCTACACAAACAAACAGATGCAATGGCTTAGAATTAAGATACATCCAAAATTCAGTCTGCACAGTGCTCTTGTCAAAGTCAAACCAGTTGAGAGACAAATATTTGCAGTACAACAACGATCAGCCAAATTTGGCTGTCCAACCAACCTTTGCAAACGTTACAGCATCTGTTTTCTGGCAGTATTTGTTCACTTTCTGTACAGTTAACAGCTGGGCAGATCTCTGTCACTTTCACCATGATTCCATTCTGTAGTAAAAAACAGACAATGCTAAAACATTTAATCAATTTCCTAGCACTCATATTCCAAACAATTTGATGTATTATTTTTCGTAAAGTGATTTTTTTTACTGTATGTAAAAGCAAAACAGGTATGGTAATTTACATTTGAGATTAAAATGCATTGTACTTTACATTTACAGTATCTTAATTTATATCTTTTTTCACTTAAAGACAATGAACTATTATTGGATTAATTCATTAGTTCAGCTAATTGGCATCATTCTATTTACAGTACTCTAAAGTTAGATGAGAACATCTTGTTGCTCTGTGAAAATAGCAACAAGAAGCTCTGCTGAATGTTCATTGGTAGTAATGTGTCATATTATCACTTTCAGGGTGGCACAGTGAAGCAGTGGTTAGCATTGCAGCCTTGCAGAGCTTGAGCCCTGGTTTCAATTCTTGGGGTGCTCACTGCATGGAGTTTGTACTGTATGTTCTCCCCTTCTTCTTGAGAGTTTCTCCCAGGCACTTCAGCTTCCTCCCACTGTCCACAGACATACGGTACAGTCCACAGACATAGGAGGTTAATTGGCTTCTGGGAAAACTGGCCCTGGTGTGCATGTCTAAGTTTGTGTCTGTCTGTCCTGCGTGCGTCCCGTTCAGGGTGTATCCTGCCTCTGGCTACCCCACGACCCCGTACTCGATAAAGTGGTCAGAAAATAGATGGATGGATTCTTTTTTAACATATACTAAATACCATCCGTATACTTTCAGTCAGAATCTTTGAAAGTTGTCCTTTATCACCTGCTGAATAATAATAATAATAATAATAATAATGTTTCTTTATTAGCCCTTTACAATTTCTTGCATTAGGAATTCGGCTTTTCGCATACCCCAGCTTGCTCTCCATGAGACACACAGGCACACAGAAGCTTGTGCCCCTGGAGCAGCTGGGGTTAAGGGCCTTGCTCAGGGGCCCAACGGGGTAGGATTCCTCTGCCAGCCGCGGGATTTGAACCGGCAACCTTCCAGTCACAGGCGCAGATCCTTAGCCACAGAGCCACCTCTCCGAATAGTACTTTCACTCACTCTTTCTATCAAATACTTACTGAACAGCTGATTGATGACAGGATCTCTGAACTGCTAATCACTGATAAATACAGTTTTAATTTCTAAATATAAAAATCTTGAATAGGAAAAACAAGCACTGAGAGTGATGTTAATTATGTCTCCCTGTATTTACATTTTTTTGATGGAGGCATTACTTATTGCTTTTGTTTAGTTTTTTACAGCGACTAGTTCTCTGAAGGAGCCAGGTTCTTCTGGTAGCTGAGGACTATCATATCTAAAGGGGGTTGTGACCCTTCAACACAGCCACCCATCACTCTGTTTTCTTCATGGAACCATACACATGAAACCACAACACCCTTTAATTAATTTCCTTGTCATCATAAACAACCAAGAGCAAGACAATTTAAAAGATGTCAGCTTGTTGTTAATTCCTGGGTCAATTAAACAGCTTAACACATCAGAGAGGTTCAAAAAAAGCATAATGCTCTTTCTGAAGACCTGAACAGTGCCTTAGATAAACAGCTCTATTAAATATAGCCTGCTCAGCCAAAGCTCACGGTGGTAGGACAGGAAAGTTATTTGTAGCATAATTGCTAAAACCCACGCCTCACCTACAAATATAAGGCACATCAGCAGTGACAAGAGCATATTACGCTTATTGGTGGATGCAACTGTAGCTTTGATGATAATGCATCAAGTTAAATACAGAGGATTCACTACCTCAGCATTTACTATAGCAGAGTGTACATTTTCTGATGAATCTCAGACAGAGGTGGTTCAAAAAACAGTTATGCAAGTGACCTTCAAAAAGCCCATCTTCTGAATGTAAATGTTTTCATAATGCAAATGAGACAAAGACGGACAGGTCTCATTAGCCTTTGCACATACAGTAGTGTTGACGATGTCACTCACCAAAGACTAACCACCACCACGTAAAAATGGTGCAAAATAAAAAACGTTGTGTGCAAGCATTGAGAGGAAGAGAAATCAGGCCTCCCATCATTGTTTTTGTAATAAACAATATGATAAGTAACTACTCCACTAAAAAACCTTGGAAAAACTTGGAATTGACTGCCACACAGAGAGGAGGATAAACCAAACAGATGTCTGAGTGAATACATAAAAATACAAACTACAGAGATGTATAGTATTAGAGAAACTAATAATTATATGTACAGTATAGCAACAAAATAAAGCCCAGTGTTAGACAGTACTCTAGATATAGACAGCAAAGAACTCTGAGAAGATAACTGCTATAGAGTACAGAAAAGTCCTCTCTGCTGTTGTATACAGAATCATAATGATTCATTTAAAACACATCAGCTAACGTTCTGTTATGGACCTCATTTGGTATTATTCCATTCTCCAAACTTGATGTACTACTTTCTTATTTTTTATAAATTACATACATTATATATATTATTTAGGTGGGTAGCTGTGTCAGCATGCGTAGGCTGCAAAGGAACAAGTAACAGGTTTATTCCATGCTGAAAAAAAGAAGAAAGAGAACACAACGTTTCGGCCGTGGAGCCTTCTTCAGGTATATTATTTATAAAACACCACATACTGTACTGTTAACCAAGAGACTGGTGCTATTAAGTATAAATTGTGAAGTCTTTTGATCTTTATCAATGAAATATTTTATATGGAGTCAACTTTCAACACTTTTTCCCCCACAAACCCAGACTACAGTATGCTTCAATGAAATTCAAAGGGTTGTACTTTGACAACTGTAGCTCCAACAGCTTTTGCAATCTTAATAGAATATCTGTACTCACGCTAAGAAAGAATGATATTATAGTTAAGGCCATTTCATGAATACAAGACATGAACAGCAGAGGGAAGAGCAATGAGGACCTGTAATAACTGAAGATACCTGCAAACCACTTATCGCTATAGTGGTTATCTGTTTTCAGAGCATGAAAGCAGCCTTTCAAGTAGTTAATTTTCAGTTCCTTAGACTATCATTTTTTCACCATTTTTGCTGTTCCATAAGACAGCAGCTTGTAATAATAAAAAAATGGTGTTATTTTTAAGGGCATCATGTATTATGAATGAAGGCATTAATCGCCTACGACACACACATTCATTTTCCTGTGATCCAAAAATATAAGGTCAGAGGGAAAACCTGAAGGTCGAACATAAAGCCTCTGCGGTGTCTCAAATATGATCTCTACTTTAGAAATGCGATTGTTGCCCACGGTTTATCAATATAAATGCGAGGCATTAAAACTAACAATGGTCACTCACATTAAGCGCTTCATTCTGCTACTTGTAAGTGGTGAATATGAATAAAGTATAAAAAGTCCATTTCAGTCATCCATTTCTGTAAATGTATTTTCTGCAGAGAGTTAATTAAAGTTGATTCCCCAGATTTTCATTTCAATCAGCCAGTCGGTAAGGTTCCCATTACAGTTATATACAAAATGGATTTACAGCTCTTATTCTACAGGTGAACCTTTTTTCATGGACATTAAGGTCTGTGAACAACAATTAAACATTTGGGACAGTCATAAAAATTAGAAAAGGAAAATCATTACCTTGCATTCTCTGCAGCTTTTTGTTAACACTCTCTGCCCCTCAGACAGCACTTTTCCCAGAAAGGTACATCGCGCTGCACAGACATACAAAAACAAAAATTAAAAAGGCAATTAAAGAAATCCTCAAATATATCTAGTACATCAGCAACTACAAAAAATAAAACCAAAATACTATGCTGCTAGATAACAATTTGTTTTATTTTTTATTTCTGAAGCTTTTTTAACGCAGCGGACCACATAACATTTTAAAGTTCTCGCATTTCATTCTTAAATGCTGAACTGGGTTGGGTAGCTTTGCACTAGTTATTATTTTAACATCTTCCATTATAAGGATTAATAGACTAAATAAAAACTAACAATAACAAAATACAAATGCTCTGCATTAAAGTAGGTTTCCATTTAATAGAATGAAAAACTCAATGGAAAAACGCCACTGAGGACTGGGCTTGTAATTGGAGATTACAATCAGGCTGATTCTGTTTTATTTGAATCTAGTGAGAATTCCACAGCTAGGAATCAGCATCTGTTCAACAAGACCAGAACAGTATTTCTTAGCTTGCAGAATATTCACTTTGCCTCCCAGTCATCTATTGTAGTACATGCTGAGAATTTTCAATCAAACTAACCTCTGAAAGGCAATGGTTACTTGTCTTTTTACAGAAGAACAAAGCATTTTTTTCTCTGAATACTTATTTCACATTTTTGGTCTTTTTAATGTAGATGTGCAAAAAGCGCGGTTATGGTATTTGTCAGAGATGATAATTACATTCATTTCAAAAACATAATTCAGGACCACTTAAGTGCTATTTCAAGAGGACTAGATGAAAGGCCGATTGCTTTGGACTTACGTCGACATTTCTTGCAGCATTTCCCTTCAATGTGCACAGGAAGATATTCTGCAGAGCAGTTTGCAGGTGGGCAGAAAATTCGTCGGCACTCCACCACACCATTCTGTGTGTAAAACATTCAAAACAAAGGTAGGAAATTCATTTAGCTGCAGTGAGCAAAAAAACTTTTATTTATGAACTATTTAATTTTTCCTTAAGTATATTCGCTTCACCAATTTACATATAATAAATATTATCAACCAATTACTTCTTTGTTGAGAATAAATTCAACCTGAAATATTATACTGTTCCAGTAGTACAGTTTGATCAACACAGGCCAGCAATGATTCACCTTTTCTCAGAAAGTACAATTTACTGATCACCTGGCTTGACAGCAGAGTAGTTATGGCCAGGGGTTAATGTTTGAATTATGAGAGTGTTAACAAATAAGGTGAAAATTGTAGTAAATATGGTCTCTGGGTGCACTGGAACTCAACACTGAACAATTACAGCAGCAAGAAGAAATCAACTTTTTATTGATACAGTACCATTAATAAAACAATATACTGTAGTGTACAACGGACATATTTGTCAACGGATTACAAAAGAACAGAACATGGCTCATGACAAATATGAATCTACAACGGGCGTCTAGCACTACAGAACACATGCGACTCCTGCACTCAGGATTACTTCCTAAGGTTAAAGCTCAACATTTCTACAGACTTGTTTACTTTATAAATAACTTAATTCCACCCTACCTTACAGGCACAGTTTCTGCAGTTTTCAGGTTCAACCCAAAGCTCCTTATCCCTGTAGACAACTCCACTGACCTTGCACGTTTTTTCACAGTGGCAGCTCTCAAGCTGATTCAGCCTCGTTTCTGCATAATTTAACTTGGGGAAAAAAAAAAGAAAATAAAATTGGTGCAAGATCTACACACACAATAGATGTGCGCATTTAATTACTGAAAAACAGGTGCAAAATGCGTCATTTTACTGCATCATATCGTATATACATCTGCATCACACCTACAGTGCGCAGTCACCGCTGTAGAAGTACTGCAGAGTAATGCTTTTGATGCGCCACTGAGATTATCGTCCTAAAATGGGACATTCTCCTCACAACGGCTTGGTGATCTTGGCATCATGCTGTCCTTTTCACATCAGCAAGCAACAAAGTATTCCAAACCAGGATGGCAAAATTTGGAGTGGAGCGTCTCCCAGTCCAACTACTATAGATAAGTAGTACAGCTGTGGCATTGACATAGAATTCCCTTTAGAGATTGCTTTCTTTAGTGCAAGAGAGCCTACAGCTAAAAGGCAAATAAAATAATCACATTATAAGCTAAAGGTTACACAAATTTAAGCATAACAAGATTTAAACTTAAACTTGACAGCATGACATCCATGATTACACTTTATCCTATTCTAAAATAAATGTATGCAGAAATTAAAACAACATTTTTTTATCATAATCACATAAATAACATTCAGTTTCACTACTATGCTTAAGCTTGTAAAAACACAGAGGGAGAGAACTGATGGAAGCTCTCATATGAAAATGTTTCTTCTGAGGATATTTCAAAGGTAATAATGCTTAAGAGTCTAAGCTTACGGGTTGTAATTTCACTGCTGATGAGTCATTTAGACTGAGAGGCCAGTGGGGGATATCCATGTTCTCAAACGCTTCTTGAAAATGTTGTTAGTTTTCTTCATGAAACAGCTTGTACCGACTGCTGACACTATTTATTGACTTCGTAATTAAATCTATCCTGTGGCTCCACATCAAGGTAATATGAAGCATGCACATTTACTAAATATGTTGAAATGGTTGCCATTTTTGTTAGAAATTACTCTCCATACTTCATTTGTTGTTTTATTTTCAGATGTTTCTTCAATGTATTGAGTGCAAACTACAAAAGCTGTAAAGGCATCTAGCTTTCTGGTAATCCATTCACAATAGGACAGCTAAGAATGAAAAAACAGTGATAATGCATCTTTTCCATTTGTAAAGCAAGTCAGAATTAATTTTTTACAAGGTTTACAGCATTATACTGTAGATTTAGATATTTATCGGTCTTGAATACTATAACAAGATGTGGGTTTTTTGCATTTTTAGAAAGCTTCTGAAAGCCTTGAATGAAAAGAATGTTTTTCCATACACTTTTTTTTCCTTTTCATACTCAATTAATATCTAGAACAATACCTCAGGTTTCTCCTCTCATTCTTTCATTTACTATGTAAAAGATCCTGGATGTGTGTGAAAGGAAAACCCATTAGAGTAGCCTACTCTTAAATACGCGTTTTTCTTTCTCCCCCCCACTCTACCACTGTCCACTAAATGACACAGAAATGCCTGTTTTTTCAAGCAGACTCCAGCCCCCTGTTGTGTATATTTATTCTTGCTACTTTGGGCATTTTCCCCCGCAAGGGCAATGCTGTGAACACAAAACAATATCATTGGCTCCTGCTGTGACCTCTTGCCTTCATTCATTAATAATTCATGCTTAGAACAACTTCTTCTTGACACTTCATATACAGCGGTGGCTGTGACACACGTTCATGCATTCATTTTCAGGACTTCTAATGCTGCTTTACAGAAACACCTCTTCATGTAAAGGACCTTAAAGATGCATCAAGTGACAAATTAATGTACAGTGGAAAACAGCTCCTTTCTACACTGCCTTCTCTCTACTATCACTGATGCATGATGCCTACAATAACACCCACACTGTCAAATCACTTTCTTTTGTTTCACTGCCAGTTAAAACAGAAGTGGTATACTGTACCTTTAAAAGTTCCTCCAATTTGAATGTCTGAAAAATGTATATGATTTATCCTCCATACTCCCCACAGAACAAGCTATATAAATAGCAGAGACTCCACAACACCTGTTAATAGTCTCCTGCTGTGCCATTCCTGGAGTCCTGTAGTGTTTCAGAAGAAACCCATTTCACGTGCCTCCTCAATGCTTCATATCTGCCCACCTCTGCAGTGATGCAACTTGGGATTTATTTTAACCACAATAATTAAAAATTCAAATCTAAGGCATAGCAACTTGCTAAGACCCAGTTTCACATCTATGTAGCATTCATTACTACACCACAAGTGGGCCAGCATTAGCTGGATTCCATATTTAGTCATGAATGCATGACCTGACGCTAAGTGCACACACCTTGTTTGATAAGCTATGGCTTATAAAATCAGTTCATAGAGTAAAATTATTTTAATAGGAAATTTAGTCTGCAGTATTACCGAAAAGTACACTTATTTAAATCTCAGTACTGCAAGATAAATCATTTATCTTGGTGACGTATGACAGTATTAAAATTAAAAAAAGAAATATAGCTCTCATTCGGGTGCGTGACGTGAAGGGTTATTTTATAGGTAATATAGGACACCATTACATTTCTAACAGATCCAGAATGAAACATCAAGTGCTGAAAATTCTAATATTGCAAGGAGAGGGGAGAAATTAGAAAAATATTAAAAGATACAACTGTCTTAACTAGTGGTTGGTACAAATGGGGCTGAGAGAGCTCACGCTGGTCAGGATCTTCTCAGTTTCAGGACTTACTGGGCATCTCTACCCCTGAGGTACTATCAGCGATGGCCACATCCCTCTACCAACTGATGTCAGTTCTCCAGCAGGTGCAGGAGAACAGAGCATGAACTGCTGAGGGTGGTCATGTTTTAAGCAGAAAACACCCTGACTTTCCCTGTATTGGTTCTGAGGGTTGATGTGGTGTGTTCTGTTGATTAACAGCTGATTATTCAAAAACAGGGGGATTATTCTCTCTCTTTTTTCTTTAAAAAAAAGGTCAAATTATTTAAAATGAAAGGACGAAAATGTAGTGTAAAATCTGCTCTACTCTGTGAAAAGGGGTCAAGCTAAATTTTTGCGAGAAGACACAGCTGTTTTGTGTGACATTTCAGAATAACTGAAAGGAAGGTGTAACTGTTGTCAAAAATAATGAATATGTGATGATCCCATCCAAAAACACTCCTTCACAGTAACACTAGAGATCGACTGGGGCTCAGATTATAAAAACCACGTCAAAATGATTCAACACCGAGCATTACAAGAAGATGTACTGTACTTTGTGTTTGTTTTCTTGAGTGTTCTCCGGAAACTTGGCCTTTTTTGTAACAAATTAAATCTCATTTCAAACCTTCGGTGAGCAGTGCTGCGAATTCCCTACAGTAGGAACATATTTTTATGATCAGACTTCACTTCTTCTCTGCTTGGGATCGCACCACAGTGCAGAGTGTCATCACAGCTTCAGATGACTGTCTAATTTCCCCTGAAGTCCCAGGAGGGAAAGCAAATATGTAAATTATGCCTGTGCAATACAGTTAGCAAAAAATGACATGAAAGGGCCACTGCACCAGAAAGGTGGAACCTTTTGTAACCTACTCACTTTTACAGTCATTTTAGCCAGCAGCTCCTGAAGATCCATGATACCTTGCACGAGGCTCAGGAAATCACTACACGTTGGGCAGGCTCAATAGGAGAAGACAGAAAGACATGAATGAATGAAGATTTTCTGAAGCTTAAAAAAAAGACAATTACACATAACTGAAGCAGAGCCACAGATAACCAGCATCAGGATAAAGGAAATGACCAACAGCTTTTTTTTATTGTACCAGAACAGAATCACCTCCCGATGCCCCCTTTTTATATTCCATTGCCATTCTTATCCTTTCACTATGAATCGAAACTCTCAAAACCAGCTAAACAAATTGCTGGGAAATTGTAATTGTACTATTTTACAGCACCATAAAATATCTTCTTAACTCTTTAATTTGTCTCATTCAATCAATCAGTATGGAAAGCCTATATAAATTGATGATAAACCAGAAAACACTCTCCCGTCACCAGAAAATGAGTTCCAAATTCAGGCACGACTTCAACTCAAAGTGAGCAAAGAAAGTTAATTAGGATTTATCATCACCCATTTCATGATTTCTTTTAATTGTTATTCTTTGTTTGCCACCCAACTGTTCTGAACTATATGACACAGACAGAATAATACCCACAACATAATGAGTACCCACTCTTATCAACTGTGAATTCATCTTGGCAGAATGAAGAAAAAAAACTCAGGCAAGGCTCCAACTTGCTTAGAATTCTGCTACTGAAGTCCTTATATGAAGAACTGCCAACCTTTATTATTTGTGACTTGTACTAGCTCCCCAAATCCCAAAGTACCAAAAAAAGAATTCTGACAATACTGTTTTGCATAGTTTGGCAGTTAGTGTGAAGTTATAAGATTAGACATCTGTAGATACAGCCCTTCTGCTCAAGTTTGTTTTTCTGTTTCCAGCTAATTTGGCTTATGCACTTACAACACAATGCCATTCCATGACACAAGTTATCTGCAGAAATACACAGAGGGATTTGAACAGTGTACTAAAATACAAATGTAGTGCACCTGGTTGAAAAACGTACACAGTGGGCTAAATAAATTTATACAATCTACAGTATGTGATGTACAGAAATGTCTAAGGATAAGCTTTTTGTTTGTTAAACTATAAATATAAACAAAAATATTACCTAATTTCTAATCTTCATTAGGAAATATATCTTCCATTACATACTGTTGCTAATGCCATCATATCTATAGCCTAATAGAAAATGTAAGGTGCTTCTGCCATTTTTTCAGCACCACCTGAAAGTGCTCTGTCCCAATAATTTCCAGAAAGAACCAATTAGATCCTCACAATGCCAAGGCAGAGTACTCTACAGTTGTGCTGTACTGAACACTGTACTTCCTCTCACACCCAGCCCCCAGCTGTCTTTAAGTAAGATGTGTTGGAAAAGAGGGTGTTACAGAGGTAATATTTCAGTAAAAACAGACCTGCAAGGTTGGCGTCCCAGACACACACACACACACACACACACACACTGCATTTATAGTGTTCATTTCACATTATCATATCAAATTAAGCTACATTTTTGAATATTTTTTCCCTTTTATTCTTTCAGAAATCAATGTCTACATTCTGTGAATTTCTTCTAACAACATATGGACTTTGGAAAATTAATCTTACTCATATCACAAAAGGAAGGTGCACATTAAACCACATTTATTGCAGTACTCAATTGGCATGTAGGTGCGTGAAATGGTTTTTATATAAGCGAGACACTTAAAAATTAGTTCCATAACTACTGCCCTGCCTACACAATTTGATTGAATATAAAAGGGAAGATAACCAATTTTGCTGGCAAATTTCCCTCGTGTGGTTGATGATGTTCTTAAGCTGATTGCTGTCAAATGCCGTAAGATTAAGGTTGTTCTGATGTTGCAGTTCTCTGAATTGTAGGCCTGATTTGGATTAGTTATTTTATCTACAGTATAAAAGCCATTTATATTCTATAACACATGTCACAATAAGTTCTAAAAATGTACTGTGTTGTTACCCTTATTATTTTTGGTCTCCCAAGTAATCGTTCCACAATTAGCAGAGGAGGTTCAGACTGATTTTGAAATGTGTAACAACTCAGAAAAGAAGTTGCTTTGAACTTGTGTTGCTACCTAAACCAGTGGTATTAGCCAATGTTTCAGGCATTAACATACCTGTCATTTGTACTTCCATGAAGATGAGATATTCTGTGTATATGCATCATACTGCATCAATCATAAATTGTTTTACTTTTCAAACACAAAAGGCAAGTTACATGTCTTTAGCACACAGACAAAGCCCCTTGAGCCGACCACACTGACACATTGGTAGTGTGAGAAGTACTGGAAAACCCATTGTACTTACTGCGATTCAGATTTGGACACTGTGTTATATATCCATTTGGAGCAAAAATCATTTTCACATCTTGAATGGTACCCTGGGTGGAAAAAGAAAGTTGTTTTTTGCATCTTAGTTTCACAATGTTACACTTAGTGATTAATTCCTAACACATTATCACTTCAAATATTTGCCTTGATAGTTCTCTCTAAAGGTACCTGCAGAGCAGAAGTTTCCCACCTCCATCTCTGACTATTAACACTGCAGATTTTAATAAAACAGAATGATCTATGCAAAAACTGATAGGATCCTCTTTTAACCCCCTTTTACTAAAGACTGTAGCATTTTACTGAAAGAGAAGGAAGTAAAAAAAAGTAAAATGATTTTACTATTACAATTTCAGATTTTAGAAAGTGTTTAAAGTTTAAGTAATCATCCTGTTAATTGTCTTTGTTAACTACAGTATATGCCACTTGTTACAAAATTTTAATTTGCTGCTCCCTTCATTATAACTGGGAAACTGAATGAATGACACATACTGTACTGCATGTTAAGACAGTGCAGGGGAACAGAACAATCAGAAAAATAAGGAATCTGCTCAAGTGGGAAACCTGTACAAGAAAGCTTCTATCCAGAAGACAAATGCCAGATTATGTTTCTAGAAATGGAAGGTCAAGCTCTTGAAATAGTCAGTGGCTTTTCACAGACACATGTACAGTAGCATTAATCTGAACTCTAAACCAGTACTTAAATGAATTTATCTCACTGTATTGGGCAGTTTTTTTACTATTGGTATTGTTAAATTCGATATTCTAACACTAATTGAAGACAAAATACATTTTCCACGGCTCTAAAAAAATAAACAATTGGTTATGATTAGTCCTCAGATCCTGAATGATTAGTACTTGAATATCAAAATCACATTTTATCTGTTATGCAAATCAAAGTAAAGAACACTATCACCACTTATGTATAATAATAGAAAAATAGAAAATCAGTTTTTATGCATTTACTGGGGGGGAAAAAACAATCACAGACCACAAAGCATTATGATATTTAATATACATCCTGTTGCTATGCATATAATTATGCAATTATGACAACTTAGAACTGAAACTAATTATGCATGTGATGTGTATAAATGTAATTTTACTGAATATTTAAAACAAACATTGTTCCATTTTGATAATAAGACCATCTGTGGTATTAAGTAAAAAACAACAACAAAATTGAAAACAAACTGTTTATTTTGTTAAACAGTTATGAATGGAGATAATTGAGAAAAAATCTGAACACTACAGTTCTAGAAATTGTAATCCCTTGCTACTTCCCTTCCACTCAAAATATCACAAAATGGCCTAATTTATATGGAAATACTTTTATAACATGCACATAAAATGGACATGTACAGTACAGTGCATATACAGTATATGGCATTGTGTTAGCTTGAACAGTATCATAAAAATTATCATCTCAATATGAGAGCATAGTCCTTTAGGAAACCTTAAAAAATAATTAATGCTAAACAAGGTAATAACTGCCAGGGATTTCGAGCACAGCAATGTTCTCTTGATAATAAAAAGACATCCCACAGATAACTGTCAAATCTGGTTGCAGAAACAAAAGTCTGAGGACTTTTCAAGAGCTTTGAACAGCACACAACAAAAGAATCATAGACATACAGAAATGACTCCGCATATGGGCTTGGACATCGAGTGATTATCATATCATTTTAATTCCAAGTATGCCATCTAGTACTTGCTATCTTAGAATAAATCACTACAAAGCTACGGAATGCCATTCCCCTAAGTACACACAACCTAGATTAAATTACTAGTTCTGACTTGCATTTAAACTATAGACCTCAGACAAAACTTAAATCTACTTCCAGATTTCTTTAAAGATTTGCTCTCTGAGGACACAAATAAATACATTTTTTGTGCTTATTGGAAATTCTATAGCGATTATGAGCGCCACTGTATAAACAATAGGCCTTGTAAACAGTACAAATTTAATCACACTTATGGGGAAATTGCTGCAATTTCTCTCAAAGCTGTAATTATGAAGCATTCAAAAATGACAATACATACCGCTCTTTTCCGGTAACTACGTTTTGGCTACTGCATAGCAAGCTACAAGAGATTTCTGAGAAAACATTCCAAAGAAAACAAAATGAAACATAAAACGGCCATTACCACCTATATAGAGTTTTGGGGCGAAATTAGAATTTCATGAATAATCTTCACCTTGAAGAACATTCACAAGAAACTGTAATAAAACATGTTGATCAAGGTACTGTAGATTAAAACAAACAACTCAAAGGAAATTGTGGATAGGGCACTGAAATTTAACCTGAAAGCTTTGGGTTCAGAGCCTGAATGGGGCAATGTTGTGCCCTCAAGTTAGATGGCTTCACACAGCTGGCTTCAGTAAACAACACTGCTGTGTAAACGGGTACAAACAATTTGCTTGTTTAAAAGTGCCTGCCAAAAAATTAATATTGGGATTCTAGGAGTACGAAACAAGCAACATCATCCATGTTGTTAATGTACAGTAGATACCCTGGCTTTTTTCAAGGAATGGCTGGATGAGATCCTCAGATCAATTCATTACAAGCTATCAGATGGGCAGAATGGCCTCCTCTGGTTTGCAACCTTGTTTATTTGATGTTCTTATGAAACAAAGGAAAGTACATATGACCCCCAGGAGAGCCTAGTGATTATCCTGGTTTCAGCAGCATTAAGCCACCCGAGTACAACTCCTGCTCCCCTACATGGGATGCTGGTCCATCACACGGTGCCCTCTTGCAACAAGTTCAAACTTGCAATCTGAGCAGCGAGCCTTGCTCAAAGATACTACAGCCATTTCAGACCTGAGCCTAACTACTACTATACACACTGGTACCTAGAAGGACAGAGCAAGTACTGCTAATATATTGGAGGATTAAGATACTGTTTCCCTCTTAATTCGTGTGGATTGGAATTAGCCTTTGACATGCTCTCTCAAAAACAACTTGTTGCAGATACACTGATCATGAATTCAATTTTCTGTAAAATGACCAAAGTCAAAATGCCTCCTGGGGCTCCTTTGTAACACTCACTTGGAGCTTGTCTGCAAGACAAATATCTCCGCAATGAAAGTGAACGTGTTAAAAAAAAACTGCCAACAATGTGAATAAATAACTTCTTTGTTCAAGCTACACCAAACTTAAAATTTTTGCAACTATTCTGAGAGAGAGTCTGGGGAAGAAATCAACACTGCACTATTTCGCAAGAAGCCTGGGTTTGCGGCAGCATCAGTGAACCCAATTAACAATCTTCCACAGCCACTTATTCCTTCACGGCTAAAGCTCTTCCATTTCATCACGCCTGCTCAACTCTGGGAGGTCTGCTGCAGCACAGCCACAGACTGGAGCTCACTCTCTTTCAAATCGATATCAGCTAACCTACAGCTTGCCCTCTCTCAGCTTAGTGGCCTAATCATTTCACAGCCTCCCGTCAGCCTCATTTGAAACAGAATTATTTGGAGCACAATACTGCTTGTTTCTGAAAGAGATTTATTTATTCAGCCCAGCGCAAAGTTAAAATGAATAAAAACTGGATATTTTCAAGTGAATGTTCTAAAATTAGGAATGTCAAACTTTCTATACTCCTTACTCAAATTGAAAAAGTGGTTTTGGTCAATCAGATTTACTTTAGGTTTTAAAACGTTCAAATCAGAATAAAGGAAGTATGAGAGCTACATTCCCCTACCCCACCCTGAGGAAACAGCAATGGTTAATTAGCACAGCTCTACTGTTAGAAACTCTTTACCAGCAAAGGAGGGCTGTGGTCTTCATCCTGAAACAGGCAATGTTGGAGCCACTGACTTCATTTTTTACACTGCAAACCCCACAGATAAACTGCTGGAATGATAGTTCTCACTGACAACACTGCTAGCTGACAGGAGCCCACAAAGTCCCAAATGGGTTTACATTTCCTTGGTAGGCAGAAGATACCTCCATCATCCTCAGGCTCACTCAATCTTTACACCATCTGGGCAAGTATACAGTATACCAGCATTTGGTCAATCTTGGACACAAATTAAAATACGTACTTATGTCAGACTAGTAAGGTCAACAATACAGGGTTCTCCCTACACATTTACTGGCTGGGACCATTTGAGAGCCCCAGCTTGTTGTATTCTATTACAGTATGCCAACAAGAACACATGAGATAAACTACCAATTCACAATAGCTGCAGCTGCATGCAAATACAAATACACTAGCTGCATTTATTATACTTACTTTTTAGTTCCCTCTAACTATGTGCCTCTGAAATATAGCCAATGAATGCAGTTTATATACATCTGATATATCACAAACACCTTCACATGTAGAAAGAATCAAGACTGTTCCTTTCTTTTATAAATCATCCGATTGTATGTTAAAAAACTGAAAGGTTGAAGCCTGTTAGTTGTGTTGACCAAATGAAAGACAAAAGCCATTACATGTAACCAAGGTCAGGAGAAAAGCACCAAACTCATTACTTTGAAGCGGAAAGATATTTGGTGGAGTGAAGCATTTGCTTTTTTCTTTATTGCCATGGTATCGAACTCACTGAAGGAACCATAAAGAAGCCACAAGTGGTGAAATGTGGCAGTAAAAGTAAAAAACGAATGTTTTAAACAGAAAATGTTTGGTCATTAGCACAATGAAGGATGTCACTAATAATTCTCATTTTACGGATACGGTGAGTCGATTGGCCAGGATGGATGCTTTTATTGTGTCTGTTTTTAAGAAAGCAATATGAAAATGAGCCAGTATGACTTCAGGGAAAGATATAGCACAAGGTCTTGAATAAATACAAAAAGAAAGACACTCAGAAGTAACCTGAACACCTGAAAACCAGGCAACACCCAGTCATATCTACAGTATACTGTATAAACAAAGCATTGAGAAATAAGATTTTACAACAAAAAGCTCTGTTTTTTTAAGGCAAATGTCTCTGACCTCCATGGGAAAATTTAATATAAGATTGTTTAACTCCAGTCTACCATTTTCCAATCATAGCAGCAGCATAGAAGAAGGCATTCAGCATTTACTTGGATAGTCTGGGAGCAAATTAAATGCCGTCTCCTGTTGTAAATGATTAATTTACCTTATTTTGAAAATGCTAGTTCTGCATTTCTACAGCATGCTTTCCTTTGAGTGAGACAGCCAGACACAGTATGCAGTTAGGATGGAGAAAACTGGAACAAAAATGTAGTAGTGATAGAGAAAGCAGAGGGGCATCTTATTCTGAAAGCCAATTAAACCAATTCCAAGGAAAGAGGCTTCATGTATTCAGTTTTGTGCCAGTTTACATACTCTTGATGTTTTTATCGTAATGATAAATGGCAAGGGATTGTGCACAGAATATAATGCATAAATGTTTTTTTGTTAAAAAAGCAAGCTATGGCTTAATGTCAGATTAAAATATATGGTTCAGAAGCATATCTCCTACTGCAGCCCTAGCAAGTATTTGAATTTTTTTTTTTTAAATGACAAAATTCTGTGCTACAGAAAAGCAATACATTTCTCAGGCTAAGCTTCTACCTTTGTTCTTTTCTCTTTTCTTGGTCAAAATCCTTATCAATTAATTGGTGAGCTCCTTTTCCTTTGAAACCTATGTATTTAATGTGCCATAGCAAACGATGATCAGTGTAGTCATTCATTTTTAAGAGTTTTATATTTGGCATTTTTCACCACACGACTGGGTATAATTAATTGTTATAGTCTTTACATTCTGTGCTACCTCTTTCTTTCTTCTTACTGGCCTGGGGCTGGCTATTAGTTGTGAAAGCTTGTTTCAGAAAAAAGCAAATCAACCCCACTTGGGTCTACTGGTTCCAACTCTAGGTTTATAAGAAATCACTCTGTAATAACTTCCTTTGTGGGAACAAAGGTGAGACTGCTTCACCTTTTCTCACATTTCCAAACGATAACTGTATTTAAGGTGATAATAAAGTAAGCCTGCTTCTTCAAATAGGGGTATCATGAAAACAGCACTGTCGAGCAAACTAATTTGAAGTACTGTGCATTCAAAAGACAGTGAAATAAAATAGAGGCCAGGGGCCTCTGCACTTGCTTAATTTAGTCACCTATTGTGTCTGGGATTGAATGCATACTTCCTCTGGAAGAAGCCACTGATGTTAGACCCTCTTCTGCTCTCTATCACCACTATTGATAGAAACATGGCTCCATTGTTCCTTTGATTTTAATTTCATTGCACCACACAGCATAGTTTTTGTGATCCAGTATGTTTATTACAAATAGATCAACTACTGTCATAAGAGCCCTGTCCTTAATAACAGTTAATGAAATGCAGATAATATCCTGAAGCATGAAAGCATAGTATACAGGATTGGTACCATATACAGTACAATAGTTATTTTTTCAGCAGAAAGGAATTGAATTTGCTTCCTTCATGCCAAAAAAACAGACGCCTTGTGTTATATTAACCTACTCCTCCTCTTACCTTAAATAGCCCATGTTTTTGATTGTGCTGGCCAAGCCATATCGCGCTCCCTGGCACTAGATCAGTTTCTGGTGGGGCTATGACCCGTTCATAAATCCTGCAAATGACAGAAAAAAAACTATTAGCCCACTGAAAAAAACATTATCAAAAATGTCAACACTAATCTTACCAATATGTTAAGGCATTCCGTTTAAAAAAAAAGACATGTCACTGAAATGACAAGCACCAAAAGCCTCAGTCAACTATTCTTTTCCTACCCTTTTTTGGTGAAGGTGGAATCCAAGATAAACTAACGCAGCTCCTTTCAAGGTTAGGTTATATTGCCTTAATATATCATGGGAATGCCCACACAGTATTTCTTTTTTGCCTTGTTTATGCAGCAGCTGGAATGCTTTTTTCTTTGACTGTATAAACTTATTGGAATCTGACAATCCTTTACAAAAATGTATAGAAATTGGTCAGAGAAGGCAGGCAACAAATGGTTTTCCAGACTGATTCAAAGCCTCATTGTCTTAAAAGTCTAACTTCACACAGTCTATGCCTGTGGCATGACCTGTGTGGAGCTCTTGAAGACGGTGTTAATTGAAACAGGAAACAAAATCTGCACATGCGTGTATGGTAATGAGCTTTCAGATGACAGCCCTCACTTGGGCATTATGTAATAAAGAAACAATTGTCTTTATAGAAGACTTTGAATTGTGGGAGGCTGTGCATAAACTTAATATCTCAAGGTCACACACTGACAGGAGAGTCCCAAGCTGTATCCAGTGCCCAGCCTCCAGAAGCCACACGCAGCAGCCTTGGATCTGAATTCTAATCCCCAACACAGAGTCTCTCTTCGACAGCCTCTGTGATTTGAGACCACAAACTGAGATGCCAATTAGGCTGATAATTCTGCAATGGCGACATTTGTGCTTTTGGACCTTGAGCTGGAGACTATCAAAGCTCATTTTGCAAACTGGCAACAAACAGAGATGGGTTTTTGCTTAATTCAGTCTGTGTCGCATTTTACAACAGAGGTCCACGAGATGAAAAACCTAAAACTCTCCATTGTTAAAGCAAACAAGAACACAACTTAGTCCCTTGTGGAAGCAACAGAGAAGTTGATTTCTTATTTATTCCCTGTTTTTTCAATGGGTACATTGGGAATGCAGTATTCAGTTTTAATTTCTGCTGGAAGGATGCGGTAAAGATGTAACACTGAATGGTACATGTGTTCAAAACTCATACAGGACCAAAGAAGTAATTTCCAACTAATTTGTTGGTTAGCGTGTAGCTGAGGACTGTTTCACATTCAGAATGCTCTACACAGTTAGATTTATAATTGGGAAAACATTGCTTTTCGGAACTGAAACACATACAGTATCACAAATAGCAAATAATAAAAAGAAAAAAGTCGCAGGAGAAAAACAAACTGTACAAAGGAACACTGCAAAGCAATTGAATAGTTCCTGAGGGGCAAAATAAATCTTCAGCTGTGCTTTCAACTATCCACAGGAAAAACACTTAAACCTGAAGGTAAGTGTGTATGTGCATATGTGGGTTTTTTGAGTGTGACAGGTTTTGGCATAATCAAAAGTGATTATGACCTCAGGCTGTGATAAATCAATTGAATAAACACAGCAATGCAATAGTCTGGCATTTATTTTATAGGGTTCAAACAATATTTGAAATGCAGAGATTCTGACCGTAAACAGTAAAACTATAAAACAAAGGTAAGGAAAAAGGATCAGCCAGCAAAAGCTGGGGTATCATCAAAAGGTGGTGAAGGTCAAAAAAAGGGAGTGTGTTAAAAAAAGCAGCATTAACAGGGTTTCATGGAAGTTACTGATGTTCAAAGCAACAACATTTTTATCACATGAGCACAAGCTTCCTCAAACCTCAAAACATTTTGTTTAGAAGAAGAAAAAATAATTGCAGCGATTTAGCCACAGCATTAAGCAACAGAACACATTTGCATTATGTCTTAAAAAATGTAAGTTAAAGATTGCCTTCTAATTCTAAATGGCAATAAGACAGGTTTGTACTGTTCATCTCTTGGGAAAATTCTTGACTCCAGGTTACCTGATCCTGTTGGCAGATCAATACTTAATTCATCTTATTAATTTGGTATAACTTTATGAAGGACTGCTTGAGATAGCTCACTGTGAGTTAACGGCCTGCGTAGAGCTAATGGGTGAGTTATGTACAAGCATTGCCATTGCTGGCAGAATTATTGACCCTTTTATAATGCGCCTATAAAGAAATTTTCTACTGCTTCTTTCATTGAAAAATACCAGCATAACAGCATGGTTTATAAACCAGTATCCAAATTGTGCTTTCTAATGCTAGACCTCAGTCTATTTCATTGTTCCAAGTCATTCTGCAAGTTGTAAAACAATTTACCTTATATGCTCCTTTGAAATTGTCTGACACTCACTCCTCTCCTTGCTGTGTACTCCATCCAACATGTCACCCAATCATTCAGATGTGCTTTTAATGTAACTACTACTTTTCCCCCAAATATAACTCATTAAATTAAAAACTTACTTATGTTTCAAAATAGAATGTTGCAGAAAATAAATTAGCAATGTAATTTAACTCATAAGTTAAATCTGAATGCCAAGAACACTGAAAAATGCAGTATATGCTCAACTGACAATTAATTGCCCAAAATAAGTATTTGAAATAATTTTTAAGAAGAGTTTGCAACTCTAAGTGTTGAAATGTTTGCAAAGTTCCACAGCTTTCCATGCCTAATGGCATTGAAAATCCTCTGTGGAGTTTGTCTACAATTCAACACTTCATCGTTACATAGCCTCTGTAACCTAATCCTCTATCCTAATTACTAATTTGCACCTTCAGCAGGATGCCACAAGAAAAACAAGACTCTTTGCTAGCAACACTACTGTCTAAGCAGATGCTAATGAGGAAAGAAGACCATGTCTGTCCCTTCAATACAGTACTTATGAACAAGTGACTTAAATGATTTCTCTTACGCACTTCAAATAAAAAAAAAAATCGAAATGTACAAGATATGAATTTCCACAAACAAAATAAATTTTAAAAGCAAAACAATTTTACAATTACAATTGTAAGAAGCTGAACTACATTTTGTTCATTTGCAAACAGTTTGTACACATTTGAGAAGTTTAGAGCTTACCAGTAGTAATTTATTATAATAATATAACTTGGCTGGAGCTCTGTGAGTCTTTTGTCTCTCCACTCTCTATAATGCTATTCAAATAAGTCTTTTCTGTATATACTTACTCTGAGCCCCCTGTGTGATCTACTTCAAGTTCAATTACAAGGAAATAAGATGTCATTAACAAGATATTCTGAAACAAGACTACAGAGAATGCAGAATGCAATGCGTACAGAATCAGCAGTTATGTCATATAAAAGAGTGCCATACTGAGTTCAACTATTCAGAGAAAATTTAAAGCAATTTGGCTGGCTCTGCAAAAATCAGATCAGATCTACGGTCACAATTTATGCTCAGTTTGTATAACAAAATTCATATATTCCACTTCTCCAAAGTGTGCAATTCACATTAATAATTAATCTGCAGTAACAATTACAACTGATAACTATTTAAAAAATATTTTCCTGAAATTCTTCCTGAACAAGCCAGCTGGAATAAAATTTTACAAATGTATCTCTAATGATAGAGCTATTACACAGTACTTCTCAGTGGCCACATGTGGAATGCACACTGTCACAAAATCCTACAGTATATCCAAACAATACAGAATAAGCAAAATCTTAACACTAAAAACATTTCAAACATTCCATCTACCATGTAGTATCTGTTGCTATAGAAACACTGTCTCTCTGGTGTCTTCCAGGTTCAAGGATAGAAGAGCAATATACAGTAGGTCTTCCGGACAGAATCAGAAGACAAAAAAAATGACAAAAGAGCAGGCTCTCCTACTATTCCACAGGGGACAGAAGAAGTGACCATTAAATAATGCACATGGCCACACAAATAGAGGTAATTCAAATGTCTAAGATCAGATATACAGTACATACCCAAGTACTTAGCATTAATGAGAATAAGGAACAGCAATACATAGCCAACAGGATAAATTAATTTGTCTAATTCAAATCGGCCTACCTACAGTAATTACAATATGACTGCAGTATATACAGTATGCCCAATTTAGAATGTAATAATATGTTAGGTATATAAAAATCAAAGAGCATGCAGACTAAAAAACACCTTAAATGATTATCCCAAAGGATAAAAGAACTGCAGATGTGGTGATGAGACTCACACAGGTACATCTCACTGTGCTGCTACAATCCTAACATGAAAGCTGAGATTTTGGTTTGTTGGAAAATACAAAAATGTGTAAGCACAACTACTGTAAATTGTTTTATAAGCATTAGCTTTTTTGCAGTTGGATACAGTTTGCAATACTAAAAGATAAATGCAGACGTTATTATAATGCTTTCAAACTTTTTCCCCTCCAGTTAATGGAGCCCCATCAATCCTGTTTTCAAATCCAATTATCTGATAACAGACTGGTACAGGCCTAACACAATAAGGTACAGCTATAAGGATGATTTGTTTTTTTTTAATATTTTCTTAATTTTAATATATGTTCACAAACAAAGTTTGAAAGCTAAGTCATGATTTCAGGAGGGAATGTGCTAATCATGCAAACAGATGGCAATCATTTAGATTTGTTTTTGTCTTCCTTCTCCATAAACATAATAATGTACCAAAATCCTTGTCACTTTACAATTTTTATCATATCTTCAGTGCTTACATTTGCATTTTCAATCAAAAAACCTGCTTCATACATGAATAGCCCTCTGAAGCATCCAAAACAAAACAATAAAAATAAATGGAAATGTTATCCAAAATTATGCCACAGCTTTTTAGTATCTTTTAAGATCTAGTTTGTCCCTGCAGCGTCACCATCCTGCAGCGTGGTCTTGTCAGATCTGAACCAAGATCGATTTCTTTTTCATCTACTGATAAGGTTCATCAGATCAAAAAAAAAAGACATGCCTTGGAAATGACATTTGGCAGCAGCTACCAGCTGCTCAGGAACCCAGAAACTAAGCAAGGCTGGCCCTGCTCAGTACTGGGATGGGAGAGCTCCAAGG